TACCAAAGCCGCTGGATGAAAAAGCGCACGGTACGGCCTGCCATGTCGAGCGGCTTTCTATGGGAGAGCGCTTGTCAGCAGTAGGGTCAGATGCGGCTGCTGCAGCGCGACGGGGCGGGTACGGGAGGGATGGGAGAATGAGTGGTGGCAGCTCCCTCGGTGCATGCACCAACAGCAAATTAGCTGGTGTTTGTGACAACAGTGACCCACTGAGTTCTTCTAATCAGTGTTTTTTATTATCATTTATCAGTGATGACATTTTGCATATTTAGTAGACTGTGAGGCGCTATCTAGTAAAAAGCCCATTGATTTTTCTTGTGCGTGCTAAGCACCTGACTTTTTTTCAGAATCAGCTTCATGCTCTGAGACTGGCAGAAAAATCAACAATGCATGTAGCTGACTGATATGGCACTGAATGCTTGGCAAAGTCATTGTTCTATTTATGAAGATGTCTTAAACTAAGATATTTTGATTATTGTGACGTTTATTCAGCACTTTCACTTTTTCTCAGCCCAAATGCTTGACAATTATTATTTGGACTCTTTAAAATAGGCGTTCATTGTTTTTATATTTTCAAAGCGTATCGAAAAAACATGATTTCAATATATTCGGTAACGCAGTAGTATGCTGACAGTAATTAAGCTTCAAACGCTAGATAAAAGTGGTATAAAATACTGGCGAGGAGTGGCTTATCTAGAGCAATGGCACTGACAATAATAGGCCACAACTCCTGAAACAAAACCATGAGAATGCAGGAATAAACTCGAGCTATATTTATGTATGCACAATATACACACACACACCCACGCACAGCATACATACACACGCACTACGGCCGGGTCAAGTGACAACCAAGTTTTTATTATGATTACACATTGCAAAACCACAGCTGCTGTAGGGCAGTCGAGTGCACGAGACGTGCCTTCGTTTGAGCGAGCACAGGTGCCTATTTGTCGGTGATACATAGTAGAACGAATAAACAGCAATGAATGAATGACAGAACCGCATGACCGAGACTGCCAGAAGACAAGTGCATTGGAGTGCTATCAGCATTTACCAGTGCCCGCAAAGAGGCTAACATGAAAAAACCAAACGGATGGTTTTATTGTCGATAGACACAGAAGCCAAAAGTTAGGTGCACAAGCTAGAGCAATTGTCAAGTTGTTTTTTTAACAAAGCTGTAAAGAAGTAAAAAAAGTATTAAGAATGCCAGGATGAGCCCTAAGTTGAGAATAAATAAAATATTTTCACTTGTCTTGTTTCGATTATGTGTTCACTGTTGAATTAGTTGTATTATCCTAAGACCGTCGAGACTGAAAGAGAAGAAAACATTCAAAAGCGCAGGAACACAAGCATTTGTGTTCCTATTTTACAGCATTTCATCGCTCTTTGCGTGTCAGTTTTCATATTATTGACTTGAGAACTGCTGGCTTAATCGCCAGCGTTGATATTACAGTCACTGAAATTTCGAAAAGGTTCGAGTCCACTGTTATGAGATCGCACAGATGCTTAGCATTTTTCATCTCTGTTTCATTTGATACTGTGCTGTATGAATACCATAGATGTGTTTAGAGGAAGTAAAAAGTCTATCTTATTTTGTGTTAAAGGAACAGTGGCAACTGCAGCTGCTGAGGTTATATATTCTAAATGAAATTATTAAATCTGAAGCAATGTTTTCTGAAGCAACATACTCAGTTACTGTAATTATTTAGGTGAATTACAAAGTTGTAGCTCTTTCAGATCAGTTAGCTGTGATCTTGTAGGATCCAAGTAAAATGTGCTCAAAATTATTTACTTCCGCGAAAAATGGTCGGTGTGCAAGGTTCCATCTCTGTTAAAACAATACAGAAAATTTGCAAGGGCTGCAGGTATCTAAAAGCAAGGTCCGTAATTACTTGGTCCGCACACACCAGCGAGATATTAAAAGATTTCGCGGGTCACACAAAGATGTTTGCACTCAATCATAACTACCACAAGCACCACGCACATGCAATTCTATGAGCGCTCGCAAGAACTGCCCCCCCCCCCCCCCCGCTGGTGCCGCAGCGGCAGTTCGGGTACTAGCTCTGTCATGCCGGTTTTGGAGCACACAGGGGGCCATACCCGTGCGCTTTTTCATCCAGCGGCCGTGTCTCTACAATCTAGGTGACATTAGGGTTCAATCATCGAAAAGACAAGCAGGATTTTGTAATAGCTGTTCCAAAATAGGCCATATTCATACTACCAATCGAATGATAACAAAATGCACTGAATATAACAAACTCCCATACATCACCTTCATAAATTATGAAAAGCTTTATTCAGTCGAGGTATCAGCAGTGATGCAGGCACTACGGAATGAGGGCATCAACAAACCCTACATAAAAATACTGGAGCAAGTTTACTGTGCATCTACAGCCACTATAGTTCTCTAAAATAAAGTATCAGAAACTGACTAAAGATGGGTGTAAGGGAGACACGATAAGTATTTCTACACTTTCAGAAAGCGTTTGACACCGTTCCACGGACATGCTCTTTTATTACATAAATTTTCCTTTTTAAGTCTCTCTGCATCTGTTCCTGGTTGGATGAGGGATTATTTAACTTCCAGAAAGCAGTCCGTTCGAGTAAATGGTTCCTCTTCTTCATACGAAATGATAACTTTCGGGGTGCCACAGGGTTCGGTATTGGGTTCTTTACTCTTTTTGGTCTATATTAAAGACTTGTCAGAGACGCTAACATCAAACATGAAGCTATACGCTGATCATTGCTATTTATAGATCAATACACAGTATAGACGACATTTGTGCTTTACAACAGAATCTTGACACTGGATAGATGGTGTGAAAAATGGAACATGTGTTTGAATGTGAAAAAAAAACGTTGCTTCCTTAGTTTTACCAGAAAAGGCTAGCCTTTCTCACTCGTCCTACAGCTTGTCAGAAGCACAACTTGACCGTGTTGAACATTTTAAATACCTTGGTGTATATTTGTCTGCTGATTTATCTTGGCATAAACATATAGGTTATGTAACTGGCAAGGCCAACGGTGTATTAAGCCTTCTTAAATGAAATTTTAAGTCTGCTTCAAAAAGTCTGAAAAAGGCTTTATATGTTACAAATGGCCGACCTATCTTTGAATATGCCTGTACAGTGTAGGATCTTCGTGGTCAAACTGTAATCTATAAACTTGGACCCATACAAAACCACACAGCGCGGCTTGTCAGTAATATTTACAATTTTACCTTCACTGTTGCATGCATTAGGAATAACTTAAGATTGAAGCCTCTTGATCAGCGTGGAAAATTCTTGCGATTAAAGTTTTTTCATTCTATATTCTGTGATGAAATTCGCATTCACAAGGGTTTATACATGATGAGCCCACACAACGTGCCACAAAGACATGACTAAAAAAATCCACGAGGTCAGCTGTCGTGCTGATGCCTTAGCAAATTCTTTTTTCCCTTTTGCCATTCGCGAATGAAATAATTTGAATGTGTGTGTTGTTGGTCTGCCATCCGATGCTTTTTGTTCGTCACTACAAGATGTGTGCTTTTTACGAATGTGCAGGAGCTGCTGCACAAATGTATGCCATTTTCCACGGCGCCATAGTGCGCTTTGTTTGACTGTCATACTGCTTTTTTTCCTCAGCACCCTACAAATATGCCCACTTGGGCAACGTAGGTTGAACTAATAATTAAATAATAAATAAAAATCTCTTCAATGCCATTCGCCACGTGTTTACATGGTCTTTAGGGCCATTGAATAGGAAGAGCTGGATGGAATAAGGGCTCAGGGAGAGTATTTGTGGTTACCTGATAACATTTGATTGTGGGGTGAATAGGGGAATGAGTTATAGCTCATGATTACTGAACTGGACAAGAAAAGTGCAAGAGTGGGTGTGAAAGTTGTTATACATAAAACTAATATGCATCTGCCCTGGCAGAAAAGAGCACTTTGAGATAAATGGAAAGACGCTTGAACTTGTAAAAGAATATGTCTACTTAGGACAGGTAGTAACCACGGAACCGAACCACGAGACTGACATACCTTGACGAATAAGAATAGGGTGGATAATATACTGCAGGATTTCTCAAATAATGAATTGTAATTTGTCCCTAACTCTCACGAGGAAGGTATATAACAGATGCATCTCGCGGATGTTTACCTACGGAGCTGAAACCTTGAGGCTTACAAAGAGGGTTCACTTTCAATTCAGGGCAACGCAGCGAGCGATAGTGAAAAAAATAATAGATGTAACCTTAAACGGACACTGAAACAGTTTTTGAACATTTCGTTTTTATTAGACCACTACTGGAACAAATCATTGCTACCATATTTCAATCCAAACACCCATTATTAACGGAGCTACGAGTACTGAAAAGGTACCCTCTTCCTCTGCTCTGCCTTTTACCCTCAACTTTTCCTTCGAGCGCTCAAAGCTAAGCTTCGCCTTCACGGAGCCTGCGACACGATGTGACGTAGCAGGATGCGTGCGTGACGTTGTGTCGTCTGCTTCCGGTAAGTCAAAGCCAGAGCAGAGCCACTGGCACTCAGGTGCTTGACCGCGGCTGGGCCAGCTGGGTGATCGTCTGTTTGTGCGCGCAACGCGAGCAGCGTATGCTTTGTTTCACGGCGCTTTGGGCCACTGCTGACCATGGACTGCGGACTTGAAGAGCATTTGCGCCGAATGAGTGATATGGTTGTCAAACCGTAGAGCGACACACCGTTTCGCGATTGTGCGCTTTGTGCCGAGGATGACAGCAGTGATCCGCCGCCACTTGACTCACTGGATTTCCGTGACGATGTCAACGATCAGGGGTAAGTGTAAATAATTTAGGTAGCACTTTTTGTTTGATACTAGTTCGTCCTCATGTCCGCGTTTCCTGTGTCGCGCCTGTGACTTTTTGGTTGTGCTGCATAATTACGAGCGTAGAAACAATTTCGTCATTGTCATTCATTTCACGGTGTTAGTGTGGTGTCCACGATAAGGATAACTTAGGCCAATTTTCGGGAGTGCAGGTGCGACAGCTGGCTTTGTGGAGCAGTTTCAACGGCTCTTGAACAACTCTGCTGTCGCGACAAGCTGCAAGTTGTTCTGAAAAATCTGGACTGCTGGATAACTTGGCACAAAAACTTCTGAAGCGTGTGCCTGCAGTCCGTCGTGCTGTGTGCTGGGGAACGGCGTCGCGGTTGAAAGAAAAATGCACAGGTAATAGTGTATCAAACAAAAAAAATCATTTTGAAGTTGCAGTTTCAGCAACATCATGTTATGCCTTCTTCCAGGAAATATCACTTTCTAGTGAACCGCTTCTTCACGTGATGAATTTGGCAGAGGCTTAGGCAACGTAACACAGTTGTATTACCTACGTACTGGTCAACGCCACCCGGAAGCAGTTACCGTCAGCCGACTGACTACGTGGGCTTCCAATATACTTCTATGCGCACGTGAAAGCTTTTATATATTAATTTGAAATGAAACTGCAAGCTGCTCATGCTTTATTTATATAAAATAAATTTTAAAATTTCAAATTTTCAAAACATTTTATTCTGTGCTGCGTGTTCTGCTGTCGAGCAGATCAGCTGAAAACGATGACGTCAATAGGGCAGATCGCGTTGCTTGGTGCGTGGGTGGTTGAAAATGCGTTTGTCCGAGTTGCAGCGATCTCGGGCGATTTGCAGCTTTGAAGCTTTGTAATAAATTACACAGTTTATGTAGAGAGCTCAAATTGGTCTCTAAATTACCCTTGGGACTTGGCCTACCGGCCCAATGTGTTAGTAAAAAATTGCCAAAACTGTTTCAGGGTCCCTTTAAGAGACAAGAAAGGAGCAGAGTGGGTCAGGGAACAAACTAGTGTTAAGGATGTCATTTGAAATCAAGGAGAAGAAATAAACATGGGCCAGGCATGTAGTACGTAGGCCAGATAACCGCAGGTCCCTAAGGGTTAGTGACTGTATTCTCAGAAAAGGCAAACGCGTGAGGGGGAGACCGATATTCGGGCATTCCGATAACATTGAGAAGTTCACAGGTATAACAGACCGCAGAAAGCACAAGACCGGGTTGATTGGCGCATCACGGGAGAGGCCTCTGCCCTCCAGTTGGCGTAGTCAGGCTGATAATGATGACACTTTGTGTTCATGAATCATGACACAACCTGCAATATTACCCAAAGTTTTATAGTAATGAGACATTCATTGACCAGAGTTAACAATGGACATATAATGTGGCAAGTTCGACACGTTGGCACCAGCTACAATGTTGTTCGTAAAGCCTGTAAAATCACTACCTATGGCTTATGACGGCAAGGTAGTAACAGTTAGTAAATGCTGTTAGGAACAGAGAATTTGCAATTGTTTCAACCTTAGGCATTACTAACTGCACTTACTAGCACAATTTTAATATAATTGACAAACTGTTACTACTCCAAAGTTAGCAAATGCTACTTTTTTTAGTGTAGGTGCGAGTGTGGTAAGACGGGTTCATGCGTCATCAAAGCCGTCACATTCCATACTGAAGTTCCCTTTTCCAAGCTCTCCATGTATACATTGCATATTGGCTGTTTCTTTTGGTGCACTGTTTCTGGCCATATGTAGAGAATATGTGGTTGTGGGCTTTGGAGTCCCTCGGATGACATGTTTTCTGTACACGCAATGGTTTCGCTCACGCCTTGAACATATGAGCAAGCTGTGTTTCTGTTGTAGTGTTCATTCACGGGCTGGACGCTGAATTTGTCGGTAAGCGTTGCCGGGCTTTCACAATAAAGGCTTTTCGGCAGCTGTTCTTGGTTAGCTCTATAAATAGCGTTTGTGGTTCATATGTTGAAATGCGCAGGCCGCCACTTGTACATTTATAATCTGGCGTTATTGGGTGACTGGACGATTTCCAAAGGGGTGGGGGCTTGAGCCCCTTCTTTCCTACAAGTTTGACGCTAACGCTGGCAGCTTAGCCTACGCTCGGTCCCCCTTTTTCTCCACTCGTTCCCCTTGTCGCCTTCGCTCTTCTCTCACGCTCTCCCTCCCATCTCTAGCTTCGCAACGCCGGCTCGGACAGCAAAAACACAACCTCAGGACGTTCTCAGTATAACTCCGTGAGGACAATATGATGCCCCCAGAATTTCCTCTTATTGTACTAGAATGGCACTAATCCCGTCCCCTTGTCCATAACAACCACAGCACATCCTCAAAACAACACTTCAGGACTTTTTCAGTATCTTTTCAGGACAACCATTGTATGGCGGGTTTGGTACTGTGGGCTGTGACACTACTGATTTACTTGTTTTCATGATATTTCCATACATCAAAAGAAAAACACCTGCGATGTTTCGTGTATATATATATTGTATCAACCAACAGAGAGGTGACAAAACAAACAAAGCTTGTTGACTGAAATTTATTTAACAGTAACTCAAGAAACACGAAACGTTGTACAAACTTCTCGAAATGGCTAGAAAGATATGCGGACATCTAAGTATAATGTGTGGCGTTGAATAAACGTTTTCGAAGGAAGTTTTTTAGAAGATGTTGAGAAAGCGTTCTTTACAAGAATTCCGTTTCAAAACGTTTACTAAAGATTATTTTCTAGAACTTTGGTAGAATTCGTGGAGGAGGTCTCGGGGGTGTTTTTTATGTTTCTTTCTTTTTTTTAACTAAATACTATTCTCTTTACATAGTTATGTAGTATATATATTTACATATTTTTTACTTATTTAAATGAAATAAATGAGCTTTCTAGTCAGCATTAAGAAATTAGGATGCGCAAACGCGGTGTGCACCTGCGCGGCTAGAACAATTTTACTTGTCTGGACGTGTTTACCGGCCTCTCAGTCGCCTCTTGAAGAAGCCGATTTGAGTAGATTTCTTTGTTATCACTCACCACGTTTTCCCTACCATGTGCACGATAAGTGAGCTTTTGACTACATGGGGACCCAACTTTTCTGTAGTACTTCAGTAGTGTAAAGGCAAAGTAGTGCGAAGTTAAGTGCAGACAAGTTTTTTTTCTTTTGTGTGGAGTGTGAAGCATGCACACGTAGTGGGAATTCGGCGGCAGATTCGAGCAGAGTTGTCGCGGCTGTCCGACTTTTTTGGCAGTGGTGTTAGAGAGGGGCCCTGCGCGCGAGCGACCACTACTTTTGTTTATTAATTTTGGGGCGTTTGTTAGCTGTAGGCGTTGATGCCTGTTCATAATGTGCGCTATTAAAGTGAACGTGCCTAAGGCAGTTTTATCTGCTATACCTTCCATTTTATATAGCTATAGTATTTGTACTTTATGACTACTATAAGAAAAGTTTTGGCAAGGTTCTGTTTGGCGTTTCAATTTTTTTCTTGCGAGTGGCCGAATGTATGCCAGTGTGTGCAACCGGGCCGGCACGCGTTTTTATAAACTACCGTGATACTCGAGTTCATGCGTGCTTCGTGTGCAGCCTGTTGCATCGTCTTAGGTAGGGGCTCGCAAAGGTTTCACCTACTCCTAAGTGTTCTGCAGCTCATTTAGTAAAATTCTAACTTTAGGTATACACCAGCAATATAGGTTGCCGCATGAGGCTTGAATCCGTGCATTTTAAGCCATTCGTTTATCTTGAACTGTACTTTAGAACGCATATTTTATGGCTAAATGTGGTCAAATTGCTTTACCCTACTGTGCGAGCACTAATTCAGTCATAATTCCACGCGTTCGAGCACCATTGATTTCACTCTGCTTGTTTCCACTATGCTTGTATTTTGATTTGGTTTATTAAATTTTTTATGCACCTCGCCCAACCTTGGTGTCGAAACTTTGCTAAACACTTTTACGTGTATGAACATTAGGAATAGTTTATAGCACCACCTACAATGAAATTTTCTGATTAATGACAAGCTTACCAGTATATTGGATAAAGTAAACTTTCTAGTCATGCACTACAGATGTTGACGGAATCTGTCATATGCGCAGAATCAATATTTCATTTATCACTCAAAACTCGCGATATTGTTATAAATAATGATAAGCATGCATAAGTCATGCACGTATTGCTGTTAAAACGTAAAATTGGATTCCATATTTATTTGAGAATAATAAATATAGACTGCAAGTTTTCAAGGTATTGGCACTGAAGGAATTAGACAAATTCGGAAATCAGTTTCATCAGACCTTATTGCTGAATCGCGGTCAATAGCATCCAAGATTCTGGTTCCGGAGATCGTTGCAGAAGCTTGCGTGCTTTATTGCGATGGTGTGTGGTTCAAGATAGGTGCCTCATATGGTTTTTTTGTTTTTTTTGCATTGACAGTCTGTGGTGCTTGAGTGAGGGGTACTGCCATTTTAGCCAACCAGAATCATTGAAACTGATCACCATAATTTGGCAGCACACAATAGTAAATTATTGACACCAATTTATGACATTATAGGTGTAATTGTCCCAGTGTGAGCAGCCTGAAAAAAAGCTACATTAGTTGTATTTGAAATCAAATTCATTTTCAATAATATAGGTTACCTGCAATAGATACATGATGGAAGTGCATACCATCGTGTATGTGTTAAGGTGTCATTGAATTTGCTTTCAACTCACTATGTACGAGCACAATTCAAGCATGGTTTCGGCACATCTGCAATGTGGAAATTGCATTTTCTTTCATAAGGTTGCAGCTGTGTTTGCCAAAAACATCAAGAAAGTTTTGCTTGTAATGTCTCTAGTTTGTGTACATTCTCCTTTTTTTAAGACACATTGTTCCAAATCATTTTAAATATACTGACAAATTCAGTTTTTTTTTTTCAAGAGACACATGTCACTCAATTGTTTTTTCTGTGTTTCCATCACAGCCTATGCATGCACCTCGTACGAACTGAGTGTGAAAGAATTCCGCACAAGCCTGTCATCAATGGTGGCTCGTGGAAAAGTTGGTTACTAAATGTACAGCAGCTGTGCATGACTTCTGTTTTCTATGAAAAGGGAACTTTCCTGAGCCACCTGGTTGCTGTATTCAAGTAGCTAGCATGTTAAGGATGTTCAATATTAAGCCTTTTGTTTTTCTTTAAAAAAGTCAGTGCTCTAAGCTGTGTGTGTAAAAGCCACCTTTGAAGATAGCTAAGTTTTCGGGGGAGCACAATGGGCAACAATAGTTATCACTGTCAGCCGTGCCCTTGAATAAGATTCAATAATGAACTTCATGCTCGAAGAATTTTTTCAAGTGGGAGAGTCTAGAAACACAAATGCCATAAACTGTTCTATCCAAAAATACCCACTTATTGTAGGCACTCAAGTTTCGGTATTCTTAGTTGATTGGCCAGCTGACAGCATTATTGTCTTACTTTGTGTTCCCCTGGACACATAACTTAAATGCAAAAGTAGTTTTCTGTTTTTAAGGCTGAATTTTATTACATGCACAAAGCACATCTCTCAATGTGTCAGTGCTGCTTTCCAAGGTTTTATGTCATGTTTAATTTATGTGTAATCTGCAGTTAACTTGAAATTGAACTTATTGCATTGCAACAAGAGTGTAGCAGATCAATGGTTTTATTTTCACTGTAATAATGACTGAATATTTTGTTTTATTATTATTGCAAGCTTATTTCATTGTCTTCTAAACCTAAATGCCATAACTACAATCAAATTATTCTCTATTGTCATACCTAATCATACCTAACTTTGCCAATACCTAACCATTTGTGATATATTAGTGATACATAACCATGTTTAACATTGTTAATGATGACTGACAGAAGGCATTCTGGAATACTGCAGCATTTTTAACTTCACTGTGTCTTTTGTGCGAGTATTTTGGGTTGGAATTGGAATTCGGGGTGTTGCTAAAATAACAATTTGATTGTTACACAGATTTGTGGTGAAACCCATTAATTTCAACTACTCATGGTTATAGCATACCTAAATTTAGGGGTGAGAAAAAAATCACTTGTTCGACTGCTGCTTTTTGGCTGTAACAAATTTTCTACCTTTATATATTTGCTACTGGGCCAATGTGTTTGCTAAGCTAGCCTTCTAAATTTCGTTGCACTGATAGAAGTCTGCTCGAAGAGAACAGTTTGTGCCTTTTGTATGTGTGCAGATTCCTGGAACAAGCATCTGGCCAGCCCCTCAATTGCTTTGCTTAATTATAGTTATTATAAAGCGTGCAAGTTTTGGGACAAAGTGTGGAGTCATTGGTTTATTAAAAGTTACAAGTATGCAACAAGGTTTGTTAAAATTTTGCATTTACTTTTGGATGTGCAGTATATTGCATTCCAGGCAATACCAGAAACAATATTAAGTTGACATTTAAAAGCCCGTCTTGTTTCTAAGCAAAACAGATTATCGTAATGATAGATGGCAGTGAGTGATTAATTCTTTCAGCAATTATGGCACCAATTTTGCCGATTAGAAAAGTACCAGCAATAATTTTCTGCCAAATTATGTCACTATTCCTACTTGTCACTCTCAACAGTGAACAGCTAAATGCATCAGTTGCAAAATGCTCACATGGTGCAGCAAATTACCCACAGGAAACGCTCAACAAGCTGGTTTCTATGAAAAATAAATGTCTAAAAAAGGTGTTAAAAGATCTAGCAAAAGTCTTTAGAATCTTGGCAAGAAGTTTACTACGCTTCTGATAATAAAAGTATAGTGAACGTTTACAAAGGTTCTTTAAAAAATCTAGAAAGACGTTTTTTAGACTTCTTGCTAGAAGTTTTTTAGCCATATAATAACGTGGCGTTAACACAGCTACAGGAGGTTTTCAAGCTGCTTAGGTTTAAATATCTCAACCAGACTTCTTATATACTTTTGAATTATTCTTTTAGGACATGTACTAGAAGTTTTTCGGTTCTTCTTGTGTTTCGTGGGAATTAACCACAACTGCTAGCTTTGTGAGGCATTTGAGTCTATGTATAGTCTTGATTGACTGATATGTGGTGTTTAATGCCCCAAAACCACTATATGATTATGAGAGATGCCGTAGTGGAGGGTTCTGGAAATTTCGACCACCTGCGGTTCTTTAACGTGCACCCAGTCTATGTATAGTCTAAAAAAAAGAAAAGCAGTATCGAGGCAGTCAACGCAGCTCAATCAACCACGTTTATATTAAAAGTGACACAGTGTCATCATCACCACGTGTATCGTGCCCAATGCACTCACTAGTGTTAGAGGCTCCGCTATGACATCCTACCAGTACACTCGTCATAGGCTTTGACTTGACTTGCCCGAGGACGAGCCATGTGTCAAATGCAGAAGTCGATCCTTTCACGTTGGGACCAGGCTGCTTCGAAGCACAATTGATCGCGATTGGCTAGCTAGTGTTCTAGGCTCCTTCGAACTATACCTTGCCGTGGTCGACTGGTGACAATACATTCATGATCAGTCTGAACGTTGAGCAGCCCAGTGCACCCACCAACACGGCAATTTACCTCCCGTCGCAACTTACGACTTTCACACATATCTCACTTTTAACCACGCACACAAACAACAAAGGAGACGAACCTTCACTAGGACACAGCTACAGAGGCTAGAAGGCTTTTCTAGTGTCCGGAGCGGCGAAGTATTGGTGTAACTATTCTCGATCCTGTGGGTAGGTGGCGCTGCCGCTCGCTGGCACGCATTCAGCGCGGGCGCTTGCGTGCGCTATCCTGCCGTTCTACACCTTGGTAAATGAGCGTTGTTTCCTTCATTTCACTTTTGGCAGGCTCCTTGGCCTTTTCATTAACGCAAATTTAGCTCAAAAGATTGTTGGCTTCGGCTGAAAAGTACGCGAATGTTGCTTGCTGAATCCGCATACGTTGTAGCTCTGTTGGCCGCGATTGAAGGTCTCGATCTTGCTGCGCGAAATAGGTATCCTGCCTTGCACCTACGCTTTTTTATAGTGTCTCAAAATGAAAGTGCCCTCGGCGTTGTCGCAGCACTGGTTCCACAAGCGCCCACATTGTCGACAACCTAAGTAAACAGCTTAAAGTGAAACTGGGCAAAACGTTATGGCGCCTGGTCTGCAAACTGCGTACCATTAGTCCCCCACATTTTTGCTTAAGACAGCACATTAACAGCGTCAAAGTAATATTGAAAGAACACAGTAGGTCAGAAATCAGCACATGCAACATCTTTACGGTTTATTGTATAATTTTCACAACACGAAACTGAAACACTGAACTTGACTCGGCACTCACAGGTACCGCCTTATCTTCTGAAGCTTTTGCTTTTGCCTCTGCAAACTTCTAGATTTGTCGGAGGCTTTGGCGAGAAAATGCAGCCTCGTGTGAGCATAGAATTTGATGTTTGCTGTCACTTCCCGGCCGTGAACTTGGCAGCCAACCATCTTGAGTTCATTGCCTTAGATAAAGCTAAAAAAACAGGTCATGCTTTCAGCATGCAGCTGGTTGCGGCTGAAAAAAACAGTAAATGCGTTCTCAAGTTCTGTCACAAGGCGTTCAAGTAGTTTCAACGGGTGAAGCACACCACCATGATTAAATGCTTAAGTTAGTGAAGCGTTACTATTCAACGTGGCCTGAACAGGAAGAATGCATAGTGATGATGCACACTCGACACACGATATTTTCTTCATGGTCTTGCGTACAACGTAACCAGCTCCATAATAAATTAATCCGCTGTCACTCTTCTTTTCTACAAAGTCCTTGTGATGAAGCAAGGAGCAGTGCTTCTCCATCATATCTGCGGCATCAGCTAAATTTCCTTCATCTAAAAGCCTGTCCACGAGAGTTGTCATTTTACCAGCTTCTTGCGTAGATGCGTCAGACGGCTCCAAGAGTGCACTGATCAGCTCAGGGGTCTTGCTAAGCTATAGAAGCTGAGGTTATTAATAATGATCAAGAACTGTCCTGGAGTCGGATGATCATTACATCCGAATGACTGACGAACAATCCCAAAGACGTTCTCCACTTTGTCCTGACTGAGGTTCACAGTAAGCAAGTACTTATATTGAAGCTTGGAAGTGGCATAATCCAAAAGATACAGCGTAATTTTCAGTGTTATACGAAGTCCCAGGGCAGTCCCTGCACTCGGAAAACCACCACCATGCTTTGCTGCATGCTCCTTCATTTCACTTTAAAAAATATTGAACTTTTCCAAGAACTCTGCACTTTTTGAGTCTGATCGAAGACCTCCGAGTGGTGTTCGCGACAACATGATGAAAATCAACTTCTCCATAAGCCTTACAAAGTGCTCTGTAGGCTCGACTATACGAAACATTTCCTGCAGATCACTCTTGTAGAAGAAGAGTCCTTTCAGGACCTCCTCGCTGAACAGCTGGTATGCCAGGTTTACGCGCATTTTTTCAAAAGCATTTGGCTCGACATGTGCTTGTGTTATATGTGGCATCACGTTCAGTGTGATGGCTACTCTGTCATTTTTCCAAGCCTCCTTGATAGGACTGACATGGACGTGGCCTTGTGAAATCTGTAATCTTTTGGAAACAAAGGCATTCCGCACGCACTTAAGAAGGTGTGGAAAGTCTGAAATCATGCGTAGGTGTCTTGCAGAATCAGCAGGATGGGGAGCCTTGCACATGATTTCCACTGATGACGCTGCAACCAGTAAGAAAATCATTTAAGCTAATGCAGGCAAGAAAAACATTGTTTCACAAAAATGTACAGAATGAGGCAACTTACCCTTTTTTCCAAGCAGCTTCCAAAGACTTCTGTTCCATGGCGCACCGTCACTTGTCCAATAATCAACACGAAGACCTGATTTTTCGGTAAGTATAGTCGCTTCAAGAAGTAATATTGAAAGTAGAGGGGCCTTCACATTGCCTTTAGAAGAAAACACGCCAAGTATTTGGGTCCATCTGCCTGTAAAGAAGACGAAGAAATTATTGAAGTGTTTTGGACAAAGCAAGGCTCTTTGTTTTACATATGCGAAATTAAAAAGTGGACAGAAACCAAATTCTTGTTCTTTGTAAGCCACACGTGGCATTAATAGAATATAATTAACAAAAACCAGCCACCTTGGAAAGACTGAAACATTATGATGAGTCCGAGGTCGCTCAGAGGAGTCTTGTCTTCTGGTTCAGTGAAGTTACCAAGGTCTACAAAGCCACTCGATTCTCCACACGCTTTCACTGCAATATTCTCGGATAATTTCAGTTCATCAAAAACAAGGCCCCCATGGAGACTGAACTCATCCATATCCTTTGTTTTTTGCTCCAGGGCTGAAAACACCTTGGGGTTGAAACCGAATGTGCTTTTAAATCCCTGCAAGTGCTTGTCCAAACAAGTCTTGCTTGGTAGTGCCATGATTTCATGCTTCCTTATATGTTCATATAGCTGCGGGCTCTTCATCCGAATCAGGATGCATTCCAGAACCCACAGCTTGTCGTAAGCCATGCCACGGCTCGACTTTCGTGACGCGGCTTTAAAACAAGTTCGTACAGCCAACTGCTGTTTTGGCGGCAGTCCGCAAATTTTTTGCTCGAAAGCCGTATCGGCCACAAACTAATTCACAAGCCGCAGTTTTTTTATCGTTTCTTGGGCTTTTGCGAGCTTTCTCCTAGTTCGCAACATCTGAACAGATTGCCTGGCAGCTCACTGCCGGAATTTCGGTTTGAGATTCTGCTTCTGTCTGGGCATATGATTTGATATAAGCTTCCTAGTGTACTTGCAACGCAAACACTGTTTTCCTTCTGCTGTTGTAATCGAGCATGCGTGCGAGTAGTACGATTCACCAAACTTCGTGCACTGACCGGTTTTGATGGGCTCAATACCACACCCAGGGCACAGAAACAGCGCGTCAGCTTTCTATAACGCCACTAGCGCATCACTTTGAGTGGCCACGAAAAATTCATCAACCTTGACGTTGCGGCAGTATATTCGGCACAACGATGTTTCAGCCTGTTCCTGCGTCGTTTCCGAGCACCCTGCGAATGTGACGTGCTTGTGAACGAGCACATATCTGGATTTTTCTCCACGAATGTGCCATCCGAAGCAAAGTTCCCCAGGCTCATTAGTCAGCACAATTTTGGTGCAAAAAGATGACGGCGGTGAAATATTGCTGAACAGGTGAGCAGAAGTCTCCGACGCTGATTGTACATCAACACTCTCGGTGAGTTCACTGTTGGGCTTGGCTTCATCTAAAGCCATGCGCTTCGGTGGTGGGGCATAGTGGTTAGCGAGGTCTCTCTGTTTCCTTCTTTTTGGAACATGCTTTGTGAAGTACAAAGGTGCATCTGGGAATATGGTCGGCACAGCGTCATCGGTCAGCGCTGGCCGTTCGCGTTCAAGCTCTACAACCTCTCCATTGATGACATGTTTGAATGTTCTCTGTATGTAGCGTTCATCAAAATGACGGGAACACACCACACATGTATTGTCAAGTACCTTGTCGTCTCGTTTGATGTTTCTCGACCATTCTCGGCTTCTAGAATGGTGCCGCATGTTCAATAGTTGCCAGCTGCTAGTTTGTTATTACGTGCTACAGGGTGCATAATGACTAATTTAAGGCTGTGACATTTAAGAGCACACTGTTTCAAATGGACATTTCGCAATACCAGGCTCGATACCCAAGCCAATTAACTACGCATGTCTCATTAAGCAGAGCGTGTAATTTGTCAATCTTCTGCCAAAAAAGAAACAAACGAGGCGAAAATATACAATAACTTTATGGTTGTATGAAACTAACATGAGGAGAAAGTTTTCACATATCAAATGCATCTACTTGGTGCGCAATGGTTTTGAAAAATTTTATCTAAGTGCTCAGTGCAATGCTTTTCTCATCCCCGAATGATCCTTAAGAGGACATTTTCCGGACCAATTGTTGTCCTCGGAAAGCACTCGGAAAGACTCTTCCGGGGCAAACCAGCTTATGTCATCCTCAGTAAGTACTAAGGTCAATGAGAACGATGCGAGGACAATTGTATCATATGAGGACGACCTCAGGACATCGAGTGCTGTCTCGGGACGTAGGTAGCGTCTCCTATGGAGTTTCTTCATTGAAAAAACCGATTTCTCGCGCTTCACAACTTTCCCTAACCACCCTGTATATATAAGCACTCGTCCTTGACTTCCAAGACAGTGGCGGATGGAGATTTCACCTTAGCGTTGTTGAACAATAAAAATTCGCAGAGTCTGTGGTAACTAAGAATGTAATTCTAGTCTCTGTGTCCAATCGCAGTCATCTGTCTCTCATTGCCTATTAGCAGCGATTAGCGTATTCCAGTATGAAACACCGGTTCATCACTGCGAGCTTTCTTCCTCCCTAGGTTCCTATCCTGCGCAACGCCGCAATGACTGCCAGTGTCAATGCCGGCGCCAGCGCAAGCATTAGCGTGTGCTGTTTCGCATCTACAGATGGTTTACTTCAGCAGGAGATCGTGTTGTTAATTTTAGATCCAAAGCAGCTCCTTGACTAGCCTGCTTAACGCTATAGTGTACTAGAATACGACTAGTACACTATAATAACACTGTCCCTCCATCCGCACCACTCCCCCTCACCGTAGGTGTTGGAGTGGTGCAAAGTAGCTCACAGCCTCGTAGCAGTGAGTGTTGACGCCTCTCCCTCGTCTTCCACGCGCTTGCCACGTGTCACCTCTCACTCGCTCCACCCTCTCCACCACTTGCAACGCTCGAGCACACTCTTCACATCGGCATCATCTCACCCGCACCACCTCTCTCCATCTTTCAAGGAGAAGTCGCGAATTGGTGGGTGCGCGCGCGGCGCACACCTCGACGCGCTCGTGGCGTGGATAATGCGGACAGCGCACCGCTGTTTGCCGCGCGATCACGCCGACGGGTGTGATGCCGTCACGGCGCGGCTTCACAGTGGTGGTCTAGTGAAAAAGGCACTCATATGCTGACCCGCAGGGCACGGGATTGAATCCCGGCTGTGGTGGCTGCATTTTCGATGGAAGCCTAAATGCTGCTGGCCCGTGTGCTCAGATTTGGGTGCACGTTGAAGAACCCCAGGTGGTCGAAATTTCCGGGGCCCTCTACTACGACGTCTCTCATAATCATATTGCGGTTTTGGGACGTTAAACCCCGCATATTAATCATCAATCAAGCCGTCGTGGCATGCTTCCCGCTACTGTGCACGAACCTTTCCCGGCTGTCACTGGTCTTGCGAGGGTCAGCTAAGCTGATCACGTTCACGGATGGCGACGTCAACATTGACGAAGTCCGAGACGGGTAAGCAAAACACAACCGTCAGAAGTGGAAGACCAGCGACACCAATGAGGTGTGAGTCAAGAACACCGATCGCGTTCGAGAACCCAGACGGTGCGCGGGTAACACCGATGTGACGCGAGCCAAGGAAGTCGAGCGCAAGCGTCTGCAATGTGTCGCGGCTCCCATGTCTGTGTTTCACACAAACGTTTACTTGAGTAAACGCTACGCTAAGTTTCGCTTCAAAGTGTTCTTCCAGCACCCGCGTCGACGACCGTTTCAACCGAGTCAACGCCGTGCGCACCGGTGCTGCTTCGCATGCCATCACGGTTTCCTTCGGTAAGATGGTTTATAGTTTTTATTAGAAGCCAATTTAGTTGGTGCGCGTTTCAAATTCATTGCAAAAATTTGGTTACAAATCCTATTAAGAATAAAAAATCGCGCATATCCACAATGTTGATGATGAAGGAGCTAGCTTCAGAGGCTAAATACGGTAAAGGGTGAATCTTCTGTACATATGCTTATTCATCATGATATAAAAATCTGACACTACAGTTGTGGTGTGATGGTATATACATCATATACACTGTGTTTTTTTGAAGAGCCACCACACGACCCGATGCCAGCCGACAAGCATGATACCGCCTGCTGTATTGGACAATTACTCCCACGCGCATGTGTCATCTTGTGGTCTTTTGATGGTGGCCTGTACCAGCTATATGCACAGCCCATGACTCGTCATATGTGTAGAACACACACAGTGGGCTGCCTGTAGACGTGCCATTGCCGGCAATCAAGAAGCTGCAGGGCATGACGCCTGGAGGTTCTTCGACCTCGGCGTTCACACCACTTACCCCACCACCATTTCTGATGTGCGTATCTTTATTGCTTGCTGTTATCAGCGATGCGTAGTCATCGTGGTCGTGGCCCGCGGCGCGGAGCGAGTATAGAGCCTTGCTCACTACGCTCACGTGAGCGAGCATCCCCTGAGTGGCGGCGCGCCAACTAGCGAGTGCTCTGGAAATGAAGAGCACAGCTGCACCTGTAGTGGGAGCAAGGATCAGTAGCGTACACACCGGCTTAACGACGAGAGACACCCCCCCCCCCCCCCTGCAAAAGGAGGAAGCTCCTAAAACCTGGAATGTGTTTAACCTTAACCTCACCATCAACAAAGTCTACTTCTGCTTTCTGCGAGTGGCTCATTACCAATAAGCACAGATATTGTAACCCGCCGCGCGTGCATTATTCTTCGCGCTGTAACAGCTTCATAAATGATATAAAAAATAAAGGCAAGAAAAATGACCATACTCATTCCTGAAGGTGAAATCTGCTCTTTTTGCTCCCCACAAAAGATTTGGGTAATACACAATTTCGAAAGCTCAATTTTAGATCACCGGCATCTCACGAGCTGCGAGATAACCTACCACTTTATTTTTATCTTTCAGCGATGACTGGGAAGCGTATCACCCGCGCACCAATGCCCTGTGGCTCTCCTACCTGCTGCAGAAGTTGACCAACAAGCTGCCCAGGACGAAGCAAGTGGCAAAGGGGTTCACTAGTGGCGGCCGACTGGCTTCCTGGACGGACGCAGTGCTGGCGCTGCCGTCTGCTGAGGCGTTTGTGGTCGAGCACGTGGCTCTCCAGCCCAAACGTAAGGCCGAGGCGCTCACGAAAAAGAGGCGCTGGGAAAGGCCCCAGAACAAGGAGCCGGACGCCAGGAGCGCCCGGACGCGCTACGCATTGCGCTAAGATGCCTGCACGTGGGCCGCCTTTATTGACTGCGAACATGCGTGCATGAGAATGCACAGTTTTACGGTGCCGGCGAAAGAACGTCGTTTGGTTTGTTGATTTTTGAAACCATGCATCTCAAGAGTAGAATTCTTGCTATGTATATATATAGTTTTGCACAAAAGTTTTAAACAAAAAAAAGTGAGACAGAAAAACTTTTTAAACTTTTTTTCTAAGCAAGACGCTGGAGTGGTTTTGGTTTGACTCAAGAAGAGGATGGTGGATTTATTTTTGATTGCAGTACGAGTGCTTGATAACTCGCAGTGCCTTAACTTTTGTTTGCTGATAGCTAACCGTCTTTTAGCGTATGTTGCTATTTACCTATTTAGTGCTTATTTATTTATTTACATAATTATTTATTTATTTATTTATGTTTATTTCTACAGGGCCAAAATGCTTGAGGCCCGTGAGCTTCGAATTGAATGCACGTGAAACAACCCCAGATCCTCAAATCCAGAAGCCTGCCCTACGGAGTCTCTCGTAATTATATCGTCGTAACAGGACTTTAAAACCCTGCAATTATTTTATTTATTTCATACTTTAGCCATTATGGCACTCCACGAAAAAAACAGAAGAAAATTATAAAAACATAACTGCCTGATACGTTGCTAACGCTCCGATTGCTTCGTTGTTTTTGCTTTTTTTGGGGGGTGCTGACTTTTGTTATTGTATGTTTCGCCGAAGATAAAATGAAGATGGTATGAATGCCCAGTGACTAAAGCATTGATTTGCATAAACCCAACGCCATTACTTGAGCAGAACCGTTCAGCTCGTATGTCGGAGGTACTCGGATATCACACTTTTATTGTTAAAAATACGCTGCATTTTTGTCTAATGGCTAACTTTCGGGTGAAGATTTAGACCGTTATTAATGTTACTGAGCAGCATTGACTGATCGGAGTTCTATGGAGTTCGACTTGGTCGTCTATTTCAGCCAAATTCATGCGAACAACCAAGAGCAGCAGTGCAATGGGACGCGCCAGCCACCACACGCCGGCATCACTCAGCTGCTCATCGGTCTCTATCGCATGCCTGTAACATTATACGCCCCATGAGTAATGACATGGTGGAGCGTTCGACTTGGTCGTCTATTTCAGCCAAATTCATGCGAACAACCAAGAGCAGCAGTGCAATAGGACGCGCCAGCCACCACACGCCGGCATCACTCAGCTGCTCATCGGTCTCTATCGCATGCCTGTAACATTATACGCCCCATGAGTAATGACATGGTGGAGCGTTCGACTTGGTCGTCTATTTCAGCCAAATTCATGCGAACAACCAAGAGCAGCAGTGCAATAGGACGCGCCAGCCACCACACGCCGGCATCACTCAGCTGCTCATCGGTCTATCGCATGCCTGTAACTTTGTACGCCCCATGAGTAATGACATGGTGTAGCGTTTTCATCGCCAGCCGCCGAAGAACACCACTGGGTGGAAACGCACCCTGCTCGTTCTTTTGGGCGATGTTATGATCGGCCTGCCTGGCTTGACGCCGCTTTGCGCATGAGACATTGTGGCTGAGCCTACCCTGATTTCTTCAGAGTCAGCGCTGCCAGAGATGCACCAAGAGCAGCGAGAACCGAGAAATCGTTCTTTTAGTTATCCCAGGTCGTCGGCACCCTCGTAAAACCCTTTGGACACGCCTGACTGACTGACGGATTACGAAGAGTTGTTGGCCGTCGAGGCTGCTCGCTTTGTCATCAAGATGTCCCGGGCAAAAGGCCCAGCGACTTTCACTTTCACTTCATTTCCTTAAAGACCCCACAGGGGGGGTGTTACATAAGGGGTGGGTTGTACAACAAAGATACAAAAGCCACAGGTTAACATTGCAGATGCATTGACACACTTTGAATGAAACGTGATGGACAGGTGATTGAAACAACATCGTGGGGAAGGTCATTCCATTCTTTGGTGGCGCGGCAGAGAAATGATGCAGAAAATGTTGAGGTGCCAGATCGGGGTCGGAAGACTTGAAGTGGATGGCCAGTGCGGAGAGAAATGCGTGCGGCGGGAGCGATGTAAGGTGGTTGGTGGAGTGAGCTGTGATACAACTTGTGGTACAGTGACAACGTAGCAATTCTGCGGCGAAGGGAAAGACTTAATAGACCGGATTCATTTTTAAGGGATGAAACACTGACATCGTAAGAATAAGAAGAATGAATGAAGCGAGCGGCACGATTTTGAACTTATTCGATAGCGTTGATCAGATAAGCTTGGTGAGGGCTCCAGATGGGTGATGCGTATTCTAGTTTGGACCGGATTAGCGACTGATAGGCCACAAGACGAACGTGATACGGTGAGTGACGTAGGTGACGTTTTAGAAATCCTAATGATCGGTTGGCTGATGAAATCATGTTAGTGATATGCGTTCGCCAGGAAAGATCAGGGGTTAATGTTACACCAAGATACTTATAGGATACCGCTGTTTCGACTGGCATGTTAGCAATTTCATAGGAAAATTGGAGTGGGTTTTTGCGGCGGTGGAAGGAAACTAATTTGCATTTGTTAGGATTAAGGGTCATAAGCCAATGGTCACACCAGTTTAATACTTCATTAAGGTCATTCTGTAGTGCTGCTTGATCAAAAGTGTTGGTTATTTTGCGGTAGATGACACAATCCTCTGCAAACATACGAAGGTTGCAGGATAAATTGTTAGGTAAGTCGTTAATGTAGATTAGGAACAAAAGCGGGCCAAGGACAGATCCCTGTGGCACTCCAGACCTAACAGGAAGCGAGTTAGATTTGACGTTGTTAACGAAAACAAACTGAGAGTGGTTAGTCAGAAATTGAGCAATCCAATTAAGAAGTTCAGCTGGTAGATTTATTTGAGAAAGTTTTTTAGTAGGCGCTGGTGTGGAACTTTGTCGAAAGCTTTAGTGAAGTCAAGAAAAATAGCATCAGTTTGGAGGTTACCATCGAGGTTAGCATGCAGGTCGTGAAGGAAAAGGGCTAGTTGGGTTTCGCATGAGCGGCCTTTCGAAATCCGTGTTCAGAGGAATGAAAGAAATTGTTAGAATCAAGAAAATGCATGACATGAGTGTATATGACATGTTCCATGAGTTTGCAACACACGCTGGTTAATGATATGGGACGATAATTTAACGGGCAGTCTCTTTTACCTGTCTTGTGAACCGGAATGACCTTCCCACACTTCCAGTCGAGAGGCAGCATACCTGAGGAAAGTGACTGGGAAAACAGCAAAAACAAAAACTCGGCTGATATGCGCTTTGTGTTCTTTAACAGCTTGGATGTAATTTCGTCGGTACCCGCCGAGGATGACAGTTTCATTTTTTCTATTAAAGACAGGATACCATTGAAGCCTATGTTAAAGGTTGGCATTTCAGGCAGATTAACAGAGACTAATTCTGTTTCAACGGGGTCAGATTCATTCGTAAACACAGACGAAAAGGCGGCATTGAATATATTGGCACATTCTGAACAACTTAATTCTTGACCAGTATCATTAGTAAGGGTGATGGTGGGCGTGTTAGGAGGGTTTATTATTTGCCAGAAACGCTTCGGTGAATCAGCAAGAATTTTCGGAAGTTCCGTATGAAAAAATGAGTACTTGGCGTTGCGCACTTCACTTGAATATGCTTTCTCGGCAACCTTGTATTTTTCCCATGCAGAATCAGTGTTTTTATTCTTCGCAGCCAGAAAGAGGCGTTTCTTCTTATTTTAAAGCCTTTTTAATGTTTTAGTAAACCAAGGTTTTTGGCGGGTGGGACGAAAGCTTATGTTAGGCATAAATTGGTCAGCTAGCTGGTTTAACTTGTTTTTGAAGATTAACCAGTTATCGTTAATGGGTCGCTCCCAGAAACCATCACGGAACGTCGGAAGAAAAACTTCAAGTTCTCGAGTGATGGCCGCGTAGTTACCCTTGTCATATAACCTAATAGTTTTAGTGCAGGCTTGGCGCATTTGAGGAACGAAGGTAAAATTGGCGTGAATGACCTTATGGTCACTTATTTCATCAAGATATGTTATAGAAGAAAGGCTCTCAGGATCAGTTGTTAAGATTAGGTCAAGAATGTTAGGAGTATCTCGAGTAATACGTGTAGGTTGTGTTATCAACTGAGTGAGATTAAAGTTGAGGCAAACATCAAGGAAATCGTTGGCCTCCTTTGCATTGGGTGCAGATGAAGTTAGATTACACTGATCAATGTTAGGAAAATTGAAGTCCCCCAGGAGGAGGACGTGAGCATTTGGGTATTTGGTCGTAAGTTCGGCTAAAATACCATTAAGCTGGCGCGCGAAATCCGGGCTACTTTTGGGAGGCCTATAACAAACACCTAATAGTACGGACTGTGGTACGGAACGAAAAAGCAACCACAATATTTCTAGGTCGGAATAAATGTTTATAAGGAAGCATGAAAGTTGTTCGTTAGTAGCAATCAGGACGCCGCCGCCCTGGGTGCCGGGACAATCTTTTCGAAAAAGATTAAAGTGAGGCAAGCCGGTCAAAATTTCGCTGTCGGTGACGTCAGAGGTCAACCACGTTTCAGTTAGTATAAGTAGGCTGTTAGATGAAGATACAAGGTCGGACACGTGGCCGCGTTTGGAAAGATATAGCTACGTATGTTGGTGAAAATGACCGAAAAAGGAAGATAGGCTTTGTGACCAAAGACGGGACAATTAGAAGATCTGGGGCGTGAAGGCAACTGCTACGAGCTTTCTTCTACATTTTCAGTTGCCTCGTTAAATACGTATCGTTTGGAGCCCATAAAAAGGGTCTTATACCGTAAAAGGAAGGGATCTGATTTTACTTTAGCAAAAGCCAGTAGGTGCTTCCGTGCGTTCCGGACCCGATGCGAGAAATCATCCCCGATGCTAAAATCTGTATGTTTAAGCTGGGGGCCCTTAGCAAGGACGGCTTCCTTGGTTTTGAAGGATGTAAACTGCACTATAATAGGCCGACACCGGCCTTGCGAGTGGCGGCTAAGACGGTGGGCACGCTCGACATCCTTGGATTCGACAGTTATTTTAGAACCGTCTGCTGATGCATTTCCCACGATCTCTGTGGCGCCTTGATGGCGCTGTTTCCACAATTTGTGGTCTGCCTGGCGCCAAATACCCGTCACTGCAACAGACTACGATATTGACTTCCATGTAAGAGTCAACGTATTCGTGCAGGGCTGTGTCGTGCGCGGTGTGCAGTGTTTCCTCCCTCGCCATGGGCTGAACTGGGCTTGCCATTTCCCCCTTTCGTGGGTGTCAAAAAAGTTTCAAGACTAGCTTTCTATGGGACAAGCAGTCAAAGGCCTTGGTAAAATGTAGCAGTACTAGGTGTATTTGTTTCTGGTTTTCAATGGCCAGCAACATGTCAAGCAGTATTTCCACAAGTTGTGTTACAGTCGAGCCCCCTCTACAAAAACTATGCGGACATGGCGATAAAATGTAATGGTATTTAAAGCATGCTGTTATGTGATTTATACTATATGCTCTAGAAGCTTGCATGCTGTACATGTAGGAGAGATGGACCTATAGTTTGAAACATAGGTCCATTTCCTATGTCTCAAACTAATGATACAAGGGTATCACTGCGGGTCCGTACCATACCTGCAGGGATACCCTTATATCATTAGCTTCTCCTTGCAGCTCCACAAGCTTTTGTCATCAGCTTCTGCCCTTTTTTTTCTGATTTTTCGTGAGCTACCTCCTCTTTGTGGCTTTCAAGGAGCAGTAGGGAAGTCGCCAGTGGCCACTTGCGTGTTTTTCTTGTGCCTACACTGTCATCACGAGGAGCGCTAGGTTTGCTAGCGTCTTTTGATCTGTCTGTGCACGGCAAGAATGTCTCCTCTGGGGTTTTATTCGTTGTCGCAGCATCATCGTCGGTAACCACATTTTCCTGGTTTCTATGGTCCTCCGATGAGGCAAGCACTTCCACGCCTTCAGACGGCTCTGTAACCTCTGCGATTTGGGCAGAAAAACGCACAAGAAAATATTGTGAAACAGTACTCTATGCAGCTGATTTTCAGATGCTTGACCAATATGCAGTTTCGCGACACTTGTGGGTTGGTCATTGAAGTGAGTT